TATTTCTTTTCTCTTGGTGACTGTAGGTTCCCTCTGTTGGTCTGTTTCTAGTTGCTGGAGATACTGTATTAATGTATTAATTTTGATTCTGTCTTCTTTCTGGATGTGCGCATTTATCTCAGTGAATTGTCTTCTCAGCACCGCTTTCACCGTGTCCCAAAGACTTTTGTATGTTGTGTTTTCATTCTCGTTTGTTTCTAGGAACTTTCTGAACTCACGTTTAATTTCTTCTATTATCCAGTTGCTCTTCAGCAAGGTGTTATTAAGTCTCCATGTATTAAACTTTATTTCCTTGGTCTTCTTATTGTTGATTTCTAATTTTATGACATTGTGGTCTGAAAAGATGGCTTGTAGTATTTTGATGTTTGTAAATTTATGGAGGCTTGCTTTGTGACCTAACACATGGTCAAATCTGGAGAATGTTCTATGTGCACAGTTCAAATCCACCAGCCACTCTGCAGGAGAAAGATGAAGCGATCTGCTCCCATAAAGATTTACAGCCTTGAAAACCCTGTACAAGGTTGCTATGATTTTGGTCTAACTCAACAACATACAACCACTATCTTTGTTGTTGTTAAGTGCTGTCAAGTTAGTTTGGACCCATTTTGAACCCTGTATAGGGTTTCCATAAAGTGGCTGTGGGTCTGAACCAATGACCCTGTGGTTAGCAGTCCATTGTTTATCCTGCAGTACTACACCGGGACATTTCCTTTTTTTTTCTTTCTACATAACAGTACATGACTATTATGTTCAATGGTGACTGTATGCTTCAGCCCAAATAACATGAAGTTAACACCAAAGCCAAAAAACAGACCCACTGCTGTCAATTCCAACTGATAGTGACTGTATAGGACAAATAGAACTGCCTCATGTTGTGTGAAGCAGACTGACACAGCTTTCTCCTGTGAAGCAGTTGAGGAATTCAAACTATGGCTTTGTCAGTCTTCCAGTTAGTGGCCAAGCACTTAAACCATTGTGCCACAAGGGCTCCTCAACATGACCTAAAAGTCAGGGAAAAAGATGTTTTAATCTCTTCATTAACATGAAAGGTAAGTGTCTACCAGAGGAAATTTAAGGGCTTCTGCCTACCAAGAGTTAATTTAAAATTCATGCATTCCTATAAATACAAAACATTTACACAAGTTGGTTATATAACTTTTGATCCAGTAATGTTACTTCAGTAAATTTATTCAGAAAAAATAAGAGGTGTAACTAGAGGTTTTTGTTAATGTTTTTCACTGTAGCATTAAACAATATATATTATCAAAGTAAGGAGAAGTAATGTATCATTGAACAGTAAGGGAATAATCAATAGTGGTGCATCCATAAAATAAAATATCATGTAGCCATTATGAATGGGAG